CATTCTATTCCTTTTGTTTGTTTGTTTTTGAGTCAGGGTCTCAGTATGTGGCTGTCCTGGAACATACTGTGTAGACCAGGTTGGCATTGAACTCACAGAGATCACCTCTGTCTGCCTCCCGAGTGCTGGGATGAAACGTGACACTTAGATTCTATCAGAAGGGAAGCAAGGACTTTTTGACATTCTTACTCAAGTATGTGCTGTACAACTTTCCTTTTTGCACTTAATACAATATTAACACCCTTGAAGTCATGATGACTCTTTCTCATGCCATATGGGATCCTGTAAATTCTCATATAACTTTTATAGACACCTTTATGATACTGTCCACCTTCTATTCAAGGATTTTTCATTTCCAGTGACTTCTTAGGGAGAACACCAGAGAGTCACTGTCCCTTTGTCACAAGAGGTTCTTAACTAGAAACAATGCAAACCAGCTTCCTCAGTGAGGGGCAGTGTCTTATCTAGGCCTTCTTGCGTGGTCGTCACCAGGTAGGGGCTTCATCCTGCATGGCTTACTTAAACCAATGAGTTCTGGATTTCAGTAAATTACCACTATTGACTGACAGGTTGCTGTAATGGTGGTAGACCAGGCAGGCAGGTACAGAGAGAAATAGGTGGTCAGTCCATCTTCAGGAAGGCTCAAAACTCCGAAGAATCTCTCCAAATTAGAAACTATCAGAAAGATTTCACTGTTAATATAGAATCGGGAAGGGAGAGATAATTAATTTGGATTATCAATACACCAATGATGTCAATTCAATGAGAATACTGTTACCTGACCCTAGCTCCTTAAGAGAGGGGTGAGCACCCTGGGAGATGGAAAGTGAAAAAAAAAAAATGCATGGTGGTGATCAACTAGGTTATAATGTATAACTAAACTTGTAAATACATTTCTTCTTCATTCTAAACATGACCTACTTTGTTTTTCCATTTTTATAATAATACTTGCTTAAACATATTCATGGTAAAGCAATTTTGGGAATGGCTTTTCAATATTGTAGAAATCTGTTTATTCAAGAAGGAATTGTTAGGCTATGTTAGTTGAAAGAGAATTGAAACTACAAAGAAAATTGAAATTGCATACTCAGTGACATACTTGAGAACACTTTGAGAAATTCTGTCTCCATTCCCTCGGGCTCAAAGTCAGAAGCAACTCTGCTTCTCTGATCAAATCCAAGGGAAAAGTTTGGAGGAATTGAAACTTGTGGGTATTTTTCCCTTTGCTTTTTTCTGTACCTCACTAGCCATCAAGATAAAACCCTTTTTTTGTGGGATTTTTCAGAAATGAACAAATTAAAATACAATAGCATGCAATATCCTTCTGCCTTATTGGAAAGTTAAAACCAAAAGATCACCACATTTGGGGAGTGCAGTAAAGTACTGGCAGCAGCCTGGCCCCAGGATAGACTCTTAGTAAGTGGTTATTAAAGCAGTAATTCTAACAATGCAGTGATGGTTAGGCAAACACTGGCTATGAGGATGTATCTCTATTTGTCAGAAGGATATATGTTTATGATAGGATTGTAGTTTGTTATTAATATATAAAGCAGGGCTAGAGCGGTAGCTCAGTGGTAGAGCACTTATCATATGTGACACTCTAGGTTCAGTGTCCAACCCAACAAAATATCCATCTGCTTGAGTTTTGGAGTGACTACCACAGTAGTCCTTGGTTAATCTTCTTGCTACCTTCTTGATGCTTTATGATCCATCTCATACAACAACCCAAATGAGCCTGTTAAAAGAGATAGCTAAAAATGTGTCACAGCACATAGCTTGGCATCCTTGCTGGCTTTGCCTGGCTCTTAGCCTCCAACAAAAGTCAACACAGGCCTCCTGGGTCTTGTATGCTGGGGCTGTGGTCCTCTTGCGCAGCCTGACTTGTTTTCCCAGTTGCCTTTTGGTTCCAACATCTGTCAGGTTTGCTCTGTTCTGAGATACTTTCTGTAGCTTGTAGGTGTGCCTAGAATGCTCTTCCACTCCCACTGTGAGCCTGTCCTTCACTTGTAGGTTTCAGTTCAGATCCCTTCTTTCACCTTCATCAGTTAATCACTGCCCTGTTGAGGTGTGTTTCCTCCTAACTGCTCACGTTTGTGGTTTCCTTTCCCACAAAAACCTTAAGTGGTGAGAAGGCAGAATCCTTATCTGTCTTATTTTTCCTGCTCCCAAAATTATTGAAAATGACCAAGGATGACTAAGTAAGCAAATGAGCAAAGGTATAAAAGGGTAGCCCCCAAAATGTTACTAGTCATTAGAGGAAGGAGGAGGATTTAAGGTGATTTTAATTGATTTCCCCCTTTGGTTCATTTGTATTCACTCATCTGCCTGAAAGGATCATCTGTTCCTGTGTAGTTCTTCCTAAATGACTCCAGTGCTTAGCCAGGCAAGGAGCTGGTTTTGAGGATTCCGGACAGTTGCAGACTGTGTAATCTGCACATGCGATGCTGTGACTGGCCCTGAGCTAACTCCTGCCATATGCCTTAAGACTTTGATTTCAAGAGAGAAGATTTCCCCAGGTTCTGTAGTGATTTGTCCACCCACATCACTGTGCAGGATAAAAGCACGTGATATGCCGCTAGGCACAGATGTGCATAGCTGTATCTCCCAGGTTCCTGACCCCGGCCCCACTGGCCAGCTTTGCCCTGGTAATCACAGAGTTACTTTGCTCCAGGGAAAATCCATTATAAACAGCAGCACATGGGGCACTGGAGTGAGATTTGCTTCAGTGCACTGCTTTTTCCCCAAAGAGAATGTGCAGCTGTTACTTCCGCATTTAACAACCAGATTGCACGGACTGTCTGCCTATTTCTAGAAAATAATGATAATAATAAAATAATACCCCACACCATGGTCTGCACCTTCCTAGGTTGTCTGTCTGTAACAGTAACAGAATCCCGTGTGCTAACCACTTTAGTCTTAGAAATAATAGGCATAGTAATTTGCAGTCTTAAACCATAAAATGGTTTTGGAGAATTGTCTCACAGTGGTAGCCTAAGCTGGCCTTGAACTCAAGATCTCTTTACCTCTACCCCTGGGGTGCTGGGATTACACATTTGCTAGTATTCCCAGCTCAGAAGTTATTAGGTGGTTATTATTTTTGTTTTTGCTGCTCATTTGTTGTTCTGTATTTTAAAGCTGAGCTGGAGCGGTGTGTGACATTTATCTGAGTGACTTTGAGAACTTGTTCAGGCTGCTGAGTAAACAAAAGCAGAATTCCCATAGCTATGGCCCTAAACAAGTAAGGCTCCCATTCATTTGTAAGTTTGCCTAATCCATGCTTCAACTTCAGGATTGCATTCTGGAAATCATTCACACACCGGAGATGATAAAGGGGAAGAAGAAAATCAACAGTAATTAATTAACGACTAATTTAAAAAACGGAAAGAAGTTGGCATTTCAGATATGGTGGTCTTATTTTTCATATAGATTTGGCACCCCATGTTTAGGGCCAGAGTCCCACAGTGTATACATATTACCCCAAGCTAGGTAAAGGCTACTGAATGTAGTAATGAACCCTTGGTTCTCTACTTCTATTATAAATATCCGGCACCTGAAGAAAACACTGGCCTTTCCTTGGTGTTCTTCATTGCCAGTCCTATAGTATATGTGGAGTTGAGGTCATTTATGTTCAGGAGGTCCTTATGCCTTGGGAGAGCAATGCAGTGCCCTTGCCATGTGAAGGCCCAGACTGTTTAAGGGAAAAGCCTTCATTCTGGGACAAGTGCTTACCTCTAATGACAGCGGTCTGCAGTACCCTATTGTGGGAAAGCTATATGACTCTGAGGTCTCCTCAGTCTGGTTTGGTTTGTTAGAGTGACTGACTTTTCTCCCTAGTTCCATCACCACCACCCACATTCTTTGGCTTTCTAAAAACATCTCAGGGTTTTTGTTTTGTTGTGGTGGTGGTTTTGTTTTTGTTTTTGCTTTTGTTTTTTGGTTTTTGTTTGTTTTGTCATCGATGAGCAAAGATACCCTGGAAAGTTGACTTATCCCTAGTAGTTGGAATACAGACCCCAGAAGATTCAAAGTCATGGTGTGTAAATGTCGCTTGGCATGAAACACAAGAGGAGCGGGACTGAGCCTTGTGGCTGGGAGCACCAGGATACCGCCTGCCTGGCTAAAAGACCCAGCAGTAGGGCCAGCTATTGTAAAGCCCCTCTGCCAGATGAACAGGGACCCTTCTCTGGTCACAATAGCCATTCACACTGAGCAGTCTCATTAAATATTCAGCCTGTGTTTCCGGCAGCTCATTAAGGCCTCAGCAAGCAGTGACGTGGATGCTGGAAAGCTGAGGGCTGGCCAGCATCTCCTCAGGCAGAGGCTGCGTGAGCTGCTCATAGCCTTTCTGTTCACTGCCTGTTCTATGATGACCAGTGTGTGCTCCTTGCTTTGCTTGAAGTACAGGTAAAAACAAAGCTGAAATGAAGACAAGCAGAAGACTCCTACAGGCTTCTGCCCTGGCTTTAGATGTTGTCTGGAAAGAGCCTCTGATTTGGGCATGCTTATCCTATTGAAGCCCCCTGACCCCTTTAAAAGCGGTCTGAGGATTTGGGGCCTTGGCTAAGCACAGACAATGTGGTGCTATTATGCAGTTGGATTGTTTGATGACTATATTGGAGGGGATTCAAGGTGTGATTTTGAACTTGGTACTTGGGGGGCTAGTCAGAATAGCAGACAGCTCTTCTATAACCAGTCAGCTGTAGAGATACTGGGTAGAATCCCCACGGCCTGTGTAGGAGGTCACTCTGTGCCAAATTCTCACTCGCATGTTTGGAGCTCTGGGGTTGGGACTGGCTGTAACAGGAGATGGCTCTTCAGACCTCTGGGTTCCTCCGATGTCTGAATGCTGTGCTTGCATTCAGCACTTTTCCTTGGGTTTGCCATCCATGCTGTGGGGTGTTTCAAGCTGGGGAAACTGTTAAAGCAGGCTTTTGAGATGATAAACTTAGACAAAGTGTACTTCTGTGCTCACTGTTGGCATGTTTTCCTTTTCCACACAGAAAATGTTTTCAGACTGCTCATTTCTATGTGGAAGACAGCAGTTCACCTCGGGTGGTCCCCAATGAAAGTATTCCTGTTATCCCCATCCCGGGTAAGTGAGGCACCGCTGTACTCCCAGTGGGTCACCTTCTCTTTTGTTCTCTGTGGTATGTGATTGCTGCACATGATAAGCTATTACTTTCATCGCCGTTTGAAGCTTACCCAGTCTAAGATATACTTCATTAAGGCTAATGTAATAAAAATTTCACCCCTTTTCATATCTGCAAAGTAATAAAATCCCTATTACAGAAGCAAATACCTATGGGTTTGTATAGGATAGCGTCATCATAAGGAGAGAAAGTGGCAGCAACAAAATGGAAAATATACCAATTTTAAATCACAATTTGTGAACATATTTTCAAAGGTGAGTTTTCCTCCAAGATTCCATATTCTGTTCATTTTTTTGGAACATTGGACACTTTGTTGATGTTATTTGTGTGAAAGTCTAGGGGTGGTTATGACTGGTCTGCTACAGCACAAGCCTAGAACAGTTATAGTGTGATAAGGATTGGTAGGACACACTGTAGGAAGTGCAAGGAAATGCTGCAGACACTTGGAAACTTGGAGCGGGGCTGGCTGTCATAAGTAGGATGTGGGATTTAAAGATCTCACCCACCATTCATATCTGTATCCTTTTCCCTTTGTCAGATAAGAATTTTGTACTGCTGAGTTGTCAGTTGTGTGTGTGTACGTGTGAGTGTGTGCATGTGCACCTGTTCAGGTGTCTGCATCTGTGTGTCTGTGAATACATATATTCAGAATACATATACACAGAAACTACTTTGAATAGTGCTGCTCCTCTGTACCTACAGTTCTTCTACTCTGCTTCATTATCACAGAGCTCTTACAGGCTAATCTATTTTTCTATTTATTTGCAGTCACCTGATCTTCAGTGGGAGCTATATAAGGACAAATGGATTTATTCTTGGGGCTATAAGACTACCTACCACATAGCAGGCAATTTTAAACTGTTAGATGGATACATGAATGTTAGCCGAGCATTTAAAAGTTCACAAAAGTCATTGCATGAAGTTCAAGGCACAGCCATTCTCTGGCTATCAAAAAGCAATTTTGTTTACAGACTATCACAGAATGTGGTTATGGTTGGGGACTTAATTATCCCTTTATGTGTCTATACATATTGTCACCAGATATTGCTGGGATTAGCTTTATCTGGGCAGCCTTTTCTCAGTAGGATTTGTCAAACAGACAAGGTGGATAACAGAATGGCCTTGCTTAGTCCTGCTGGAAAGACTGTTAAAGGGTTAAATGTGTGTGAAGATGGGTCCTGTGAGACCCTGGGTTCCTCCCACTAACTTTTATCCTTGGTGGAGGAACTGTGCCCTGTATGAAGAGCAGCAGAGAGGAACTAACAGGCTTCATCATGATGGATCTTTTGACTGCTAACTTTGCACGAAACCATTATGTATAGTCATTTTCCTCCCGTATTGCCCAGAGTATGTGTTGACTGATGGGTAATTCTTGGGAGCCACTTTGTCCCTGCAGCTGACTCTTTTGACAAACACAGTTTTTAAAGGATCAAATCATGAGGAAGAGGCCTATGAGTTCAAGGCCAGCCTGTGTTACACAGCATGTCAAGCCCTCCCTAAGCTCCGCAGCAAGACTGATGGTGGGCATGGTGAGGATGGGTAGAATGCTAACCCATTCCTCAAGGCCTGTGGTTGAATCTCAGTACCACACAGTGTTGATCATAAAACATAACAAAATAACCAAACATCTGCAAAGCCCCTGTGTATGAATGTGTGTGTGTGTGTGTGTGTGTGTGTGTGTGTGTGTATGTGTGTGTGTGTGTGTGTGTGTTTATATACACACATGCATAATTGTATGCTTCTGAGATGCTGGGGATCTGCTAGGCAAGTATTCTACCAACGAGTTGCACTTCTTGCCAGGTGCTATTCTTTTGAAACAACAAATGTGAGTAAAATTTTCATTAGTGTTATTAATGAAACATTATCAATGCATATGTCTTAGTTAGGTTTTTATTGCTGTGAAGAGACACTATGACCAAGGCAACTCATAATGTAAGACATTTAATTGGGGCTGGCTTACGGTTTCAGAGGTTCAGTCCATTATTATTGACAAGGAGCATGTGACATGTGGGCAGACATGGTGCTGGAGCTGAGAGTGCTACATCTTGCAGGGAACAGGAAGTCAGTCAACTGACTGAGGGAAGCTTTAGCAAAAGAGACCTCAAAGCCTGCCTTCACAGTGACACAATTCTTCCAATAAGACCATATCTCCTAATACTGTCACTCCCTTTGCGGGCCATTTTCTTTCACTCCACCACAGTATATTATCTCAGAATTGTATTTACTATAGTATGTCATTCTTTTAAACTTGTGTCGTAGATAAACTTTTAAATTAGAAGTTAGTTCGTGAGATTAGCCTGCTTAAAGAAAACACTGGAAGAGATTTACAGATGTGCAGTATGTCAAAACCAAATATCCTTAAAAATGCTTTCTCTAGAAAACCAAACTTTGTAATAAGCACATTACAAAACAAAATGTGGGGGCTGCCAGTAGCCCAGGAATCTAGAAATGATTCATACCTTTCCAGCAGCTAAAATACAGCTTAATAATATGAAGGTCACTGGCTTCAGCTTGGTGCCAGCATATAAGGCGTTTTTATACATGCTGCTTAAAACCCTTGGGATTAAACCAACCTTTTTGGCATATTTTATTTATACAAAGATTATCTCCAAAGGAGATTCATTGGTGTTTTGACTGTAATGAAGCCCTTTCTTCATTGACTTCATTGTGCCATAAATGAAAAGATTTCTTTTGTCAGGAAATAAAATGTTCTAATCTTCAAACACTCCTTACATCCTAAGAGTTTGATTTAGACAAAAATCTATTTATTGTGCTCTAACTCAGGGACTAAAGTCTTGATAGTGTTCTTTTCTTTCATGTTGGTTTTATCTTCCTAAGTTGATGCAGAGGTAATACTAAGCCTAGAGTCTGAAACTGGACCCTAGGAGGCTGAAAGGGCAGTCAGAGGGGAACTGGACTCTGGAGATTGAGATCCGTCCACTAGATATGTGTTTATCAGTACCTTATAGTGTCTCAGTGGAGGAGACTGGGGAAGTATTTCAGCAGTGATGGTGTAAATGGAGTCCTGTACTAGAGTTTTATGTATTTTCCCTCCTGCAGGTAGAAGAAGCTAGAATTTGGTCTTTGTCTGCTGGGGGTTAAATGAACTTTGTATAGGGATCTCTCTCTCTGTCTCTCTCTCTCTGTCTCTCTCTCTCTCTCTCCCTCCCTCCCTCGATGTTTCCCTCCCTCCCTCCCTCCCTCTCTCCCTCCCTCCCTCCTTCCCTTGCCCCCCTCCCCCTCTCTCTTTTTCAGAGTAGGTAACCTAAGGACTTCTGAAATCTTAATGGTATTTGTGTACATGGCCATCCACTTCCCCAGCCAGCAAAAGGGATCTTTTCTTAAATAGAGATTTAGCTAGGGAACCCAGCAGCTAGCACCTTGGCAAGAAGGTACATACTTAGTACCTTCTTTACCTGCATCAACAAGGTGATGCTGTGTGAGCCAGTGTGAGCTCTTTGGGGAGCAAAACTTATGATTAAAGTCAAGCTTGTCTTGTGTGGGACAGATCTGGTCAAATGTCAAGTCTGGAAGGCACTGTGCTAAGAGGGAGCCTGACCCTGGAGATAGCCTGGTCCTAGAAGTAGCCGAAAGAACACTGGGCAAGTGTCTTCTTGTCTCTAGATTTCTCCCCTGGATCAAGTGGTACAGGGAGAGCAAGTTGTCCTAAATGACAACTCATAGTTCCTAAAGTCACCAAACACCAAGCCTCTTACCTTGTTATTTCTGATAGTCGTTAGTGCATTGGTCCTCAACCTTCCTAATGTTGTGACCTTTAATACAGTTCCTTGTGTTGTGGTGACTCCCCCCACCAACCATACAATTATTTTTGATGCTACTTCATGTCTGATATGCATGATATCTGTTGAATCAACCCCTGTGAAAGGATTATTCAATTCCCAGAGGGATCACAACCCACAGTTTAAGAACCACTGACTTAGTGACTTATGGCATTTCCCAGATAGGGTGAGGGAATCCCAGAGAGGCAGTCATAGCACTAGGCAGCCTGGCTCTGGCTTTTCTGCTCCTGTCACTGAGTGACCATGGATGATCTATAGAAGGTGTTAATTAGATGGGACTGATAAAATGAACACAGTTCTCCTGGTGGCTGGGGAAGATGCTGAAGTCAGGGCTAGTCTTTGCTATTGATCCCCCCCACACACAGTTTCTGCTGTTAAAGCAAGGGTGACAGCAAGAAAGTTAACCTTTTTTCTCTTCCTATCATATTTTCCTTAAGCTAAGGAGAGAACAAATCTAGCAAGTGTGACTAGGTTGAAGAAGTCTAAGGTATTAGAGATTTGCATCTTCTGGTTGTTAAGATGCAGGTACTTGCCTGTGGATCTGAGGAGAGGATTTTCTTTATGTTCAAATGCATTGTTCTTTGTTCTCAGTAGTGGCATGTGAGCTCACCATTATCTGAGCTTTGATGCCTTCTCTGGGCAGAAGTTGCTTTCTTCACTCCATCTTCTAATGTCTGCTGTTGGCACCTACAAGTCAAAGACTAAGATAAGGGGGTTCTATTGTGGATTAGCCCAGATAAAAAGACTGCTGTTTGCATGGTTTAATTCTCATTCACAAATGCTAAGAATGAATAATCATATTTGATAACAAAGCTCACACTTTAGATACTGATTCTCAGTTGGTTATATAAAACATTTATAATCAAGGGATTTAGTGATAAGGACTAGTGGTCTTATTTTCACCTAACAAATCTCTGATAGCAGAAAATTCTACAAATAAAAATACTGGCACAAAAGAATTATTATTTACCAGCTTAACCAAGGTACTCTGTTCAATCCCATGTTCTTCTTTAAACTGTTCTAATTTTAAAAAAATGGAGCCAGTATATAGCATTCCAGGCTTGACTTCACCAGGCCAAAGCTCAACTCTGTTATTCACTTTAGATAAGTGGCCTCAAGTGTTCTCATGTGTATCACAAAGATATTTCTGTTCCCTTTACCTGGTTCTTGTTAAGAACAACAACAACAACAAGAAAAAAAAAACAAAACAATAAATTCAAAATGTTGTCATGGACTTTGGCAACCATACAGGCTGAGTGGTGGCTCTCCGAATTATACCAACTCTGTCTTTACATGGGTTTCCCATATATCCTAGTAATTTACTTCCAAGCCTGGAGTTTACCCACCTTTTTTCTTCACACTTCTCCCATAACTACCCTATCAATGGTTTTCCCACCACATCCAGTTTTTGATGGTAACAGCAGTGTTCAAGTTGTAGATTATACCCTGGTTTTTCCTTTACTTTCTTGTGTTCACTTGCATTCTGGCACAAATGTTGCCCATGAACAGGGGCACTCAGCAGAACTTCTGGCTGATCCCAGGGACTCAACCAATGAATGATACAGTGGTTACCCACAGTGAAACATAGTTTGGGCTTTCGCTGAGTTGGAATACTCTGTTATGGATCAACAGCTCACTTTTTAAGTCATACCCATCTGTGATGCTAATCTTAGTTGCCAACTTTACATACCTTGGAAAGGGGACACCTTAAATGAGGAATTGCCTTCATCTGGTTGGCCTGAGGGCACATCTGTGGGACATTTTCTTGATTGCTAATTGATGTAGGAGGCCCAGCCCATTGTAGATAATACCATCCACTTAAGCGTGTGGGCCTGGACAATAAAGGAAACAAATGACTGTGAACCTGGAGCAAGCCAGTAAGCAGCACTTCTTCTTGGTTTCTGCTCCAGGTTCTTCCTAAGTTCCTGCCTTGGTTCCCCAACCTTCCTTCCCCAAGGTGCTTTTGGTCAGTGTTTTATTACAGCAACAGGAAACCAAACCAGAACACCACCCTTTAGTTCATCTTTAAGAAATGGTTTGCTTGTAAAAGGAGGATGCATGTAGCACCTATATCAGGGCACATATAAGATGAATGCAAAGCACTTGGTTATTAATTAGCTCTGTTATTATCTGTAATGGAACTTGTTTAGGTAGAAATAAATGTACTGTAGGTGGATGTTTTCCTATACAGATTTCAAACTTTCCAGGTAAAAACTAAGTGTATCAAGCCTGTGATGCTGTTCAAAATTGTTGAGAAAACTTAATTAAAAAAAAATACTCGGGAGGGAGTTGACCAGGGCTTCTAGTTAATTGCTCTGTTGTATTTGTCTTAAGATGAAAATATTTCTGAGCCCTCTGCTGTGTTATCTGAGTAGTTGGCTTTGGTCAGTGCAGCATGCCTCTGCATACACACCTGTCTGTCTCTGACTTTCATGGTGGCTTTTGTGGTGCCCTGGGAACCCAGAGGGAGTAGATTAGGTATGGCTCAGTTTCCTTGGATAAAAATGCAAATGGAAGAAATAGTACATCATGTATTTCTATGGTGATCATACTGAGCACTGCTGAAGTTTTACTGCATCCCATCATGAGGTCAACAGGCAGATTGATTTCTGGGTATGTGACATTAGGTTGGACATTCCAGTTGATCACACTATAAGAAAAAAAAAGTTTACTGTGAACTTGAAAGCATTTCTTTTAAGGATTTGCCATGGGCTGTGACCATCAAAATGCCATGTTTTTTACCTCAGCATCTTGGTGTCTTTAAAATCTTTATGCTATGTGTAAAATATCTAAATATAACAAACATTTTTTCTCATTTTGAACCAAGCTCCATGTCCATTCCCAGCACCATAAATTTCTGGGCATTGGAAATTCCAAACAGTAATTATGGAATAAAACATTGCTGTCACTCAATTATTAGCTATGGTACTCTACCCTTAGTAACTATTATATTTTTCAAGTCCAAAGATGTGTTTATCCTTGGATACTTACATTTTTGTGCATATTAATCCTTTTTTTTTTATCTTAGCCTGTGGGCCCTTCATTGCCACATAACTGTTATTATAGAATTTACTTACTTCTAAACATTTTAAGTGATCAGATAATTTTGGAAACTTTTCTTGAATAGCATTTTGCTAAATATTCTGGGCAAACATTTTGGCTCTTCATAGTTTGTTAATGCTGGTTACATCATGGAAGCTATAGATTTCTTGGGCGTACAAAATGATTGCATATTCATGAACATCTTCAATCTTGAAATATTTGTAAATAACTTGGCAATTTTTTATAAAGTCTCCTATTAAAATGATTTGGACTTTAATTGTTCACACAGAGAGAACTTGTGCGTTCGAAGTACAAGCTACTGTGTTTAATATTTCAATGTTGAGTAACTTAGGTTATGGACCTATAAATCACCTTTCTTAAACAAAGTATAAGAGTTGCAATTTTCCACTGAGGAACGATTCAAGTTTGAAAATGTCAATAGATGCAAAAAGCCACCCTAGAGCTTTGCTCTCTCAAAAGAGAAGTAGAGAAGGAATGACACAGTCAATGTTAACTGTCACCAGATGAAGAGAAATCAGATTGTCAGGCCTGGATCTATGAAATTCTTGCCAAAGTAGGACCTCATTTACACATACAGATCTTCATACCCTTTGCTAAGAAAAGCATCTGCGGCAGTTTAGATGTTTGTGCGTTTGCCAAAGATCTTTCACTCTGAATAAAGTAAATGTCATGTCTGTTGTTTATCTCAAATTCAGCCGAACATTTTTTAAAGGAAATATTTGCGGGGGAGGGCTGAACGGGGAGGAGTTCAGTGGCAGTGAGGAAGTGGGTGTGGCTCTTTAGGAGAACCAGTCAAGGATCAGACTGGATCTCTGTAAATAAACCTAAAACATACACTGAATATGTCCCTTTGAAGTGACAACACAACAATAAACTGGGGTTTGTAGAGTCTTCCTGAATTCCTACCTAGGCTGTTAACATGTATGTGCGCGCGCACACACACACAGACACACACAATTCAGTTAATTCCATCCAGTTGAGTATTTGGTACTATTTAGACACAGCTGTCTTGAATTGAGATTCTGAACACTTAACCATAGAAGGCTTTGCACAGCTGGTATAGGACATCTATCCAAGTGAAGATTATGTAGACTTCAGAGACTTTGAGTCAAACCTAGGTGCTGGGCATTCACGCCCTAGCCATGGAATAATAATTAAAATTTTAAAACCCAGGAAGTGCCATATTTCTTGGCAAATGGGTAAAAAACAGACTTTTAGCTAAGAGTATAATGTATTTCCTTTCCTGTGTAAATTTTCTTCAAATAAAGAAAGAGAGGAGTGTGTGTGTGTGTGTGTGTGTGTGTGTGTGTGTGTGTGTGTGTGTGTGTGTGTGTGTGTGTGTGTGTGTGTTTAAAATACCGTATTTAGCCTGGCTCATAAGTAATTCAGAATCCTAAGGAGATCTTGATGTAAAATGAAGTCCAAGACCTTTCTTCAGAAAGTTATTTCAGTTGATTCAATTTTCTCATTTTTGTCAAATATTTATCTTATGTAGAATTTGCTTTTTCAGTGTCATTTGTTATGAACATGTTTTGTGTGACCCTGAATATCATTTTATTCCTGCAGATGACATGGAAGCCATTCCTGTCAAACAGTTTGTGAAACACATCGGTGAGCTCTATTCTAATAACCAGCATGGGTTCTCTGAAGATTTTGAGGTATGTTTCAAAACTGGAAAGTAATTTCTAGAAAGTCTATTTTATTTCATAGGTATTTTTGACAGAGTGAACTGCATTTATCCTAAGCATATGAGAACAATAACTCTACCAACCAGAGATGGCTTTCTCTTTTCACTGATGGTTTTCATAAACATTTTCCCAATCAGATGTAGAGACAGGGAGTTCCTTACTTCTGCCTTGCATGTGCCCATCTATGAAAGATCAGACCTAGAGCTTGAGAAGAGGGCAGTGGGTGGGGTTAGGTTTTCTGGTTCTTCGTCTTAATTCTAAGTAGGAGCACAGTCACACTGCCGAGCTCCCTGATTCCATGTCATTTCTGGGATGTGCATGGTATAATGGAGACAGGAGGTTTGGCATCAGAGAAAGTGCTGGCTCTGCCAGAAATAAGCTTCATAAGGCCAATCACTTCATCTCTCATCCCCAGTTTCCTCATCCTTAAAAAGATGGTGCTAATGTCACCCACAGTATAAAGTTGTTAGATTAAAAAATAAACATCTATGAAAGTGCTGGGTTAGTTATTAATTGGTTGTTGTTGTTTTCATGTGTATTAATCCTTGGAGAGAAGACGTGGGTTAACACAGCCTTCTGATTTTAAGAACTGGTGTGTAGGAAACAAGGTGGAGAAGTGGCACGTCCCACTCTGCCAGCTCTGGGTTCCGTGCCAGTTCAGCAGTGACAGGGTGTCAATGAGGAGCCATTAAACAGACTGCCCTTTTCTTCACTGAGGCGCATCCCTGGCAGCAGGGGCTGTGTAGAGCAGGGCACACTTTCATGGCAGCTCAGCTGGCTTCTAGCTGT